CGATATACTCGCATTCACTGAAACGTGGCTTTCTCAGGACATCACGGATGGTGAAGTACATCCACCTGGCTACGCACTATTTAGGTGCGATCGCTCTGCTGGCCGACAGGGAGGGGGCGTCGCTCTTTATGTGAGCTGTAAACTTGGCGTTTTGAAGACTTGCTTATTTCAGTCGGCAGACAAAACTGTTGAAGCTCTGTCGGCTGTTATAAGCACATCCTCGGCTCAGGTTACAGTTATAATTGCGTACAGAAGCCCTGGGAGCGTATCCAAAGAGGTACTTGAATTCATTCGCTCCCAGTCCGCAAACAAGTGTTTGGTGATGGGCGACTTCAACTTCCCAGAGATTTGCTGGGCAGATCTTTCATGCGACTCAACGTCAGGCACATTCGGCGCTGATCTGCTTGAGCTTACGCTCCAAGTATCTTTGCGCCAGTTCATCGACCTCCCCACTGGGTACATGGACGCCCAAGTACCGTCTAGCTTAGACCTTGTATTTGCCAAATCACTCGATTTTGTTGGTGACATTACTTACGGACCTCCACTGGGTTCCAGTGATCATGTTTGTTTGCTCTTCAGTTATACTCCGTCTAGACGCTACCAAAGTACTGTTGAGTCTCGCCCGAACATATGGCACGCAGACTATCAATCCATGAGAGCCATAGCTTCGGGTTTGCATTGTGAGATCTCAAACGACGATACTGTCGAGGTTGCCTGGGATAAATTTAAGTCCTACCTCACTTAAGTCACTGCTCCCTTCATTCCAGACACAAGAAAGGAAGCACGAGCACAGCCGCCCTGGATAGATCCCACTGGCAGGCATCTACTCACAAAGAGGTCTAGATGTTGGCGGACTTACCGAGATGCTCCGTCCACCGATACTTATGACAAATACCGTAAGGCTAGAAATAAGTGTAAGCAACACCTAAGGAATGCTCGGCTCAATTTCGAGAAAGGGTTAGCGGACGAAGCTTCAGAGAATCCAAAAAGATTCTTCGCTTATGTCAAAAGGCGCTGCGGTTCGAACATGTCAATTCCAGTACTGATGCGTGATGACGGTACTCACGCGCATACGGACTATGACAAGGCCTGCGTACTCAGTGGGCAATATGTGACAGCGTTTGTAAGGGAAACCTCTTTGACAGGCGTGGAGCTGGTTTGCAGGATTCCGGAGGGTTCAGAACTATCTGAATTTATTGTAGCGGAGACGGAAATTCGTAGGCTGTTAGAAAGGCTGAACCCTTCTAAGGCCTCTGGGCCTGATTTAATTCACCCGAAACTGTTGCATGAGTTGGCTGCGGAACTAAGTGGACCGCTCGCTAGTGTGTTTCAGAAATCGCTTGAGCGCTGTGCATTGCCTTCCGAATGGAAGGAAGCTGTCTTCTGTCCCATCTTTAAAAATGGGGACAGGGGTCTGCCTGCAAATTACAGGCCAGTTAGTCTGACGAGTGTAGTAGTTAAACTCCTCGAAAAACTGGTGAGACAATCATTGGAGAGTCATCTGAGTAGATTTAATCTACTTAGCAATGTGCAACACAGATTCCGGAAGGTATTTTCGTGTCTGACGAATCTACTGGTGGCTCGCGAAAGTTGGGCGGATGCAGTGGATAACGGCCACATGCTGGACGTGCTTTTCGTCGACATTTCGAAGGCATTTGACAAGGTACCCCATTTGAGGCTCGCTCAAAAGCTGTCCTCCTACGGGGTATCTGGCCGCGCCCTTCATTGGGTGACTGCCTTCTTGCAGGGTAGAGAACAGTGTGTACGGGTAGGCCGGGGCCTATCATTTAGGCAATCTGTCCTCAGTGGCGTGCCGCAGGGCTCGGTCCTTGGACCGCTGCTGTTCTCCATCTATGTGAATGACCTACTCGCGGAGCTTGAGGTACCATCGCTGCTATTTGCTGATGACCTGAAGCTGTGGAACACTGTCGATGTTCCTGGGGGATCCGAAGCTATTCAGCGAGCATTGGATAAGCTTCGGGACTGGTCTACTTTATGGTTACTGCCCATAAATCAATCAAAGTGCTCCGTTCTTCGAATTGGAGGAGGTTGTCCTCCTACGAAGTACGTGGTCGGTGGGGTCGAACTCCCCCGTGTATCTAGCCAGATTGACCTAGGCGTCGTACACTCTTCGGCTTTACATTGCGGCGACAACTGGAAGAAGGCCGCAAGCAGAGGTTTCCGCATGTTGTGGTTAATTCGACGTTCTTTCGGAGTCTTGACGGGCGACATCTTTACGAGGCTGTTCTCGGCTTTCATTCGGTCTCATCTGGAATACCGCATCCAGGCTTGTCCGCCCTGCCTCGTCCGGGACAAAATGGAGCTAGAGAGGGTTTTACGAGTGGGTACTAGGTTAGTCGAGGGATTACGGGGACGGACGTACCCCGAGCGTCTACTTAGTTTGGGAATGCATTCAATGCACTACCGAAGGCTTAGAGGAGACCTAATCCTAGCCTACGATATCTTAACTGGGAAGGTTGGTCCAGATTTATCTTGGCTATTCAGTCCCGCTAGATTATCTGTTCTGCGAGGTCATTCCTTGAAACTGGACAAACCGCGGTCCCATCGGATTAGGGCGGAAATCCGGCTGTCACGCCGAGTTATCGAGCGCTGGAACATGCTTCCGGAAAGCGTTATCAGGGAATCTACGGTTAAGGGGTTTGAGCGGCAACTTGACGCTCTTGGGTGGCAACATGAAACCCTTCCATTTTCCTGAGTAACTCGTATCTTCGTACTTCGATTTTCTTTTCTCTATGCTTCACGCATTGGTATTATTTTCTTATTTAAGTGCACTTCTTTATCCTGTACCTTCGATTTCTCTTCCTATCCCTTGTTTACTTCACGTGACTGCCACAGTAAGGACTGCTAGGGCAGGAAACGTGGGCATTAACTGGTTGGCCAGGGTGCGATAAGGGTGTTCCGTTTTAGATCCATCGATAACTGAGCACTTCATCAATTCCTGGCTCAACGATCCACTCAAGATGGAACACTCACGGGATTCTCCTAAATTTTCAGTCCCATCTGAACTGAACTGAACCGAGACAAAATGGAGTTGGGGAGACTGTTACGAGTGGGCACGCGGCTAGTGCAGGGTCTACGGGGACAGACGTCTCCTGAACGCTTGCTCAGTTTGGGAATGTACTCAATGCACTACCGAAGGATAAGAGGGGACTTGACTCTCACTTATCGTATTTTGACGGGTAAAATTGCCCCGGGCTTGTTAAGGCTATTTAGTCCCACTACATTACCTAATCTCCGCGGTCACCCACTGAGACTGCATAAACCACGGTCTGATAGGATTAGGACGGAAAGTCGTCTATCGCGCCGAGTTAAAGATCGCTGGAATTCGCTTCCAGATCACGTGGTTGGGGAACCTACGGTTAAGGGTTTTGCGCGCCAGCTCCATGCTCTTGGGTGGCAACAGCAAACTTTTCCTTTTTCCTAGCTGACTCACCTTCACTTTTCAGTTCCTTTTTCAATAACTCAAACATCTTGGTATTCCACTTGCTTAGCTCTTTCCACCCTCTTTTGCCTGAGTTTACTTTTTTCTCTTTCTTACTTCATGTAACCCGCCCAGCAGGGAGTGCTAGGACAATATACGTGGGTATTAATTGGTTGGACAGTGTGTGATGCGGTCTTTGTTTTAGGTCCATCAGTATTTTCAAAGTTCGCTAACTTCTGGTTCAACGACCCGCCGAAGAAGGAACACTCACGGGATAATCCTATCGTTCTAGTCCCGCTTGAACCTGAACTTTGTGACCAGCTCAACCTGAGGCAGAGGCCTCATGAGAAAAGACAACAGTATACTGTTCGCTAAGTATGCAAGCACGATCATAGTCGGTATGCCCATAGGTCCTGTCTGTTCGTAGTATAGCCGGTATAGACCAGTTGATACCGCTGCGTCTCCTTACGTAAGCAAAGAACTATGCATTTGTTACGGCTGAGTTAGCCAAATCTTCGTACTGAAGACGAAGAGTTCTAAGATGTTGCTTACATTTATTTCTAACCGCTCGATAGCTTTCGTAGATGCTGGTTGATGACGTCGTTTTGTAAGTTCGCCATCAATTAGAGCGCTTCCTGAGCACGTATTTATCCGAATTATCTAACCAAAGAGGCTGCGCCGGTGTCACCCGTCTCTTAATGAGTGGGATGTGGGGAGCTGAGATCTCGGTGAGGTATGGCTTAAATTTCTCCCAGGCTGTCTCAACGGTGATCGCGCAACGCAGAACTAAAGCTTTATCTCGCATTGCGTTGAAGTCTGACAGCCAAAGATTTGGAAATGCCTTAGCGGTAGCTTGATGACAGTTAGTTAGAATACATCGAAAGGATGTGCAGGCTTGGTCACTGGCTCCTAGAGGACAGCAGTAGGTAATATCACTTACGAAATCGTGTGACTTCGCGAAAATGAAATCCAAAGTAGACGGAATTTGGTTGCGCATATGTCTAGTCGGAAGGTCCAAGAACTGATGCAAAAGCCGTTGCAATGTTAGCTCCCTGGATTATCGACGTCGCGGTGACTTGATTTTCACCAGGCGCATTCTGCAGGAGTGCTTCAATTCAATGCAAACAGTTTAACTAGAGACCACAAGTGGAAAATGTTTAAATCCAGAATGATCCGGGTTTGTCCTGTTCTCGCTCTATCAACTCGCGCAGTTAACGAGTGGAACGACTTACCAAAGCATGTGGTCGATGCCCAGACTGAGGAATGTTGCAAGCGAATGTTAGATCCTTATCTTTTGAGTGCGATGGGCCATTGCATTTTCCACTGTAGCTGTCACGGTCACTTGTGGATTACTGTTTGGCATCGAATAGCGGCCTTCACACAATGATCGGGAAGCGATGGAGCTGACAAAGGATTCCTCTTTCTGCTCTCTACAATCTTATGCTCCGGAATATAACAGAGGTACAGAAGAATGGGACAGAGAATGGAGTGACCCGAGCGCAATGGTCAACGAACCTCGACAGTTGAGAAGAGGAGAAACCATATGGAAAATGTATTTTTAAGCGGTCAATACACAGGCACCGCCAGCCGCCCGTATTTTTTCCTCTGCACGACGCGAGAAAAAGCGAGCCTTGACGATCACAGGTACCTTTGGAAGAACACCTTTGCCCAGGACCTTATGATAACCCTAGGCATGATTAGAACAACGGTCAAGGAAGTACCTTTTTTAGACAGTTAATAACGGGAGCTTTTCCGTCAGTATCGTCCCTATACTTCTCATATGTATCTTGAGAAACAAGGGACCACAGCTTTTCGACGTTGATCGTAGGGCAGAAGTACGGATTTTTCTTGTAGTGGTAGTGCCGCATACCAACTTTACCGAGATAACCAGGATGGTACTTGTCGCAGTTGATCTGATGATGGTGTTCTAAACCTGCGTTTCCTCTGCCGCCAGGATGTTTTCGATGTTTGCCAACACGACCGTGACCGTGGCTAACATGTCCCCGCAGCTTTCGAGTCTTTTTCGGCTTTATCTTCGACTAAAGCTTAATGAATTAAGTTGAACTGAAAAAATTACCATCCGTACCGCTCGCGCTGAACCGTGTCACTGTAACTAAACAAGGAGGTCACGTAGTGAAGCTAACCACAGTCATTCCTCACATCCAGCTTTTATGAACTCTAAGCCATATGTTTAGGAGTATAAAATACGGTAAAGTCTCCGATTATCAAAAAACGTCATATCAAATTCATCCAGTCCAAGTGCGTGTGGAGGGTGCAGGCAGAAAAATCCCATGGTTGTCCGACCGTGGACGGATCGCTCAGCTCAGTCCTACTAATGTGTTGAGTTGCATTTATGTATTAAAATCGAAACACAAACCCCACTCTCATCGATCTAAACAGTACTAGCATTTCCTGCTAGTTCACGTGAAGTGAGCAACATAAAGGATTAAAATTAAAATAGTAACAAAAAGAATGCATATGAATGAACCGTCGTACTGGTGTGTGAAGGCACACACAGAGGTACTATAATGCTGCGGTGTTTACGCCATTGGGTGTCGGGGCGCCTGTTTTGGAGTATTTTGGGGTTGAGAGCGTCAGCGGTAATCAAGGAGGTACATGCATAGTTACAGGTTTTTAACATTTTGAAGTGTGGCACGATGTTCCCTTTAAGTTAACTTGCTGCTTAGGAGCGAAATTGGTTTTTTCGCCCGTTTTTACTCGCCCTGCCTTGACCTTCCCCACTTTGTTCCATCGGATATGCATCCGCTGTCACGCGAACGAAACCAAATTAGGCTGTTCCGCATTAGCACCCTGTGACTGATTATCTTATCTTTTGATACTAGCGATAAGTGCCGAAGATTGGTTATGTACTTTTTATAAGTTCGGTCGTATTGTCACTGCTCACTCTCATTGTTTATGCACATTCCTGCGTCCTTCGTTGCGCTGTCTGGTGAACGTATAAACGTTTCGCGTCCACTTGCTAGTTGTGCAATTGCTCGTCGGAGCACTGCCGTCGCGGGACTGCGTCGCTGACGCAGTTAACCCCGTGCGCCTCGTTTTACTTCTGCCGTTAGTCCGCAGCTGGGACTCGCATTGGAGAGAACATTTTTCGTGGCGTGCAGTCCAACAAGAAGGCTTTCAGGCGATCGCTTACCGAAGTCCGTGCTGCTGCCACATCAACCCCGGCCTCTGAGCTGAGTAGTGGTCTTACGTGCCAGTTTCCAATAGCGCTTGACATTTGCGTCTTACCTTCGTAATAGAAGGAGGCAATCATCTATCCGATTTTTAAGGGATATGACGGCGCTCTACCCGCGAACCACCGGTATGTCAGTTGGTTAAGACTGGTGGTCAAGTGGTTGGAAATGGTGATAAGGAATATGCTGGTGAACCGCATGAATAGCGTTAACCTTCTCGGCGTTACGTAGCACGGACTTAGTAAGGGCTTTCCGTGTCAGACCAATATACTTGTAGTTCGGGAAACCTAGGCCGAAGCGGTAGAAATGGATACGGTGTAAGCATCCTATTCGTGGGCTTATCGAATCTGTTTGCACTCTTTCGCCTCGTAGGCTAGTACTAAACTTAATATCTTACGGGATATCCAGTCGCGCCATTAAATGTGTGTTTGCTTTGCTGGGGAGAGGGAACAATGCGTACGGGTGGGGCCTTGCCATTTCTCTGGCAAGCTGTCTTTAGTGGCGTCCCGCGGTGCTCGTTATTGGGGCCAATGTTTTTCGTTATCTACGTAAGTGATTTGCCGAGGCAGCTAGGGGTGTCATCACTGAGGTTTGCTGACGACTTGTAGCTTTGTAGCCTTCTGAGCGTCCCCGGGGACCTCAGGCAACTCAGAGTGCCCTGGATAGACTCCAGGAATGGTCTACCTCATGGTTGAGTCCCATAAATAGGGCAAGTGCGCTGTTCTCAGAATCCGTGATGCTGGTCCTCCCACCCGATTTTTGTAGGTGGCGGTGAACTACTTGCTGTCACTCAGCAGGTCGATTTCGTGGTAGTACAATCACCAGCAGTTCAAGCTGGCGGCAAGTAGTGGAAGGCTGCTTGACGGAGTTTCGTAAGCCGCGGTTTTTAGGCCGCTCCTTCGTAGTCCTAACGGCCGAGTTGGTTGTGGAGCTATGTTTGGCATTCATCCGGCAGCACGAGGAATATGGTATCCAGGCTTGTCCACGAGGCCTCACCCGGGATAACATAGACTTGGAGAGGGTTTACGAGTGGGTACATGGTTAGTGCTAAGTCTACGAGTCCAGAGGTATGCTGGACGCTTGCGTAGGTTGTAAATGTACCCAACTGATTACGGAAGGCTGAGAGGGGACCTGATGCTCACTCCACGTGCTTTGACGGGAGAGATGGGCCAGGACTTGTCAAGGATAGTCAGTCCAGCTTATATACTTAAGTTCCACGGTCACCCACTTAAACTGCATGAACCTTGGTCTGATAGATTCGGAGAGAATCTCGTCTGTCGCGCAGAGTTATAGCTCGTTGGGATTCGATTCTAGATCATGTGGATAGAGAACCTACGGTTAAGGGTTTTGCGCGTCAGCTAGGTGCTCTTTGGATGCAACGTCACAACCTTCCTTTTCCTAACTGACTCGCCTTCACACATCGGGACCTATTAATGGCTCATATATCTTGGAATTCTACTTGCTTAGCTATTTACGCTCCTTTCGTTCATTCTGCGCTCCTTTTCTCTCTTTCTTCACCTAACTGGCCCAGCGGGGACGGCTAGGGCAAGGTACGTAGACGTTAATTGTTGGACAGGGTGTGTTGCGGTCTTTGGTCTAGTCCGCCTGGCTTTCAAAGCCTGCAAACTCCTGCTTAAACGAATCACTGAAGAAGGAACACTCACGGGATACTCCTAGTTCTCCACTCTTAATTGAAGTTGAACTAGCACTAGAACTTTTACTTAAACCTATATGTTAATTAGGATACTTAGATCCTCCATATATCTGCTTGGGTCTCTGGTACACCAACAAATGCCACCAGCCTACTATAATGAGCTACCTGCTTTTGAAAATGATTGGAGTCCTTCGTTCTAATATTCGTCCTACCGACAAACCAGTATATCAGAGTTGAGCCACAATGCCCTTCTCGCATATATAAGGGCTATTGCTGCAAACTTCCCTGCTGCGAAAGCGGCGTAGCACCTAACACGCCGTTCCTTACCATTAATTTTATATATTCTATGACGGCCTCCATCACGTCTACCGCGGTGACCATTATTTTGTCTTAACTCTAAACCTATAGACTTTTCAACAATCATTGAGTGACCCAGTATGCGTTAAGCGTTAACAACCCAGCCTTGCCCACTGACTCGTTTACGTCTTTTGGCAGAAAGCGCTGCACGCTTTGGAATCACTTTGAATGTTGCTCATTTGCATCTATGTGTTTGATATTCCACTGCCATACCCTCGGCATTACACGTTAGCGCAGCGTGCGTTGCACTGGTGGAAGTAAGTCCAACGTGCAACTGGTTCCAATTCCATTGACTCCAACTTCCTCGCCCTTGTCAAGTTGAGGCCACCGTCGAAAATGGGGAGACAGGCACATTGATTGTCAATGGTAAATAAATAAATAAATATTTTATTCTCGACTATGCGAGACACGCTCATGGAGGCATGATCAGATATGTACAACTGTACAAACATTTTGTGGCAACTGTAACAGTGAGAGTAGAAACTCGTTCATATGTCCATGATTGGAACAGTACGATAAATAAATAAATAGTTTATTCTCAGTTTCATAGACACACCAACTCAGGCATGGTCAAGGTTTGAAAACAGATGTGTATCACGACGATACATCGGGTCCAATCGTGTGTAGTTGAAACGGTGTCGGGAAGAGTTGATATGTGAGTCTAGTCGACTTGCCAGTATGTAGTTGTGGGCAGTGACTTTATTCAGTGGCGAGTCACATCCGCCACGTCGCAGTGTTGTTAAACAGACATTTGTGGCTTTTTATAGGGAGAACGCTTGCCAGGCGAAAACCCACCACGTCCTGCAACACTGCCGTAAAGCATTTTGAACATTAATGTTGAACTGGCAAAGCCGCTTGACGACTGGTTTTACCTTCGGTTTTTCGCGGAGTAATGGCTTCTAATTTCCTCTGTTAGTTGGACAGGTAATTTGATCGGGGTCGCCATGATTTTTGAGGTCGGTGGAGGAGAGGGACATCGCGATTATTCTTCTTGTTGTATGTCCAGGTGAGCAAAAGTTCAACTTTTCCGCTGTCCAGATTTTTCAGATGTATAATGTTTGGGAGTATGAGGATATGTCCAGTTCTCCATACTGGACAAGGGTTATGGTGATTGTAGTTCGGTCCTTTCGGAGTTCTACCATGCTCCATGTAAGTCCTTGTGGGTTGTTACGTCCGTCTTGGGCCAAAACTGTTCCTCAGTCCAATCCCAGATCTCCAAGAAGTCCCGGACCTCAGAGAAAAGGGAAAGTGAGGGACAACCGAGAGAAGACCGCAAGAACAGGCATGGAGTTGAACATTGTTAATGTCTTGTGTTACAACATTTGGGCTTGAGACAAAAGCATGTACACTGTGCAACAATAATTATGCTGAAAATGTCTTTTGAATATCCTATAGAATCATTAGCCGTATGGGTGGATTGCTAACGCCTGCGTAGAGACAAGAGCGTTGTACCAGTAAGTAAAGTACGAAGTATCCGTTTAGTATGAGCCAATAATTGCGTGGGGATAGAGCAAAGAGAGTTAGAATATTGGTAGTGATTGTCAGGTGCATGAACAGCACGTAGTTAGCGTAATCCGAGAGGGAGGGCATAATAAGCGAAAATAAATAGGTTGCTGCGAGAGAGTCCTAAAGATCAATTGGTGGCAGGGCAGCGGAAGGATTGGATGCAGATATTCTAAAGGAATAAAGGTTATTGAGATACGGAGTGGCTCCTAACAAGCACTGGATCATCGCATATGCATGGGGCCAATGGCCACTAGCTACTTCTGAACAGAGATGCCGAATTTACGACGACCGACAGAAGGTGGCGCTAGGAGAGACTCAGTGGCCAGATGTAGCCATTCCAATCAGACGCTTGGTCAATAGTGTATGCCT